GTTCTTATAATTGCAATGTTTTAATATGGTTTTAATAATAGATAATATTCAAACACCACTCCTAAAGACAATAAAATGAGAAAAATAAATAAATAAAGGAGTTCAACATTCTGTTCAATAATACATAGCCCTCAAGCAGCTTTGTACAAAATTACAAAGAACAAACATCTTTTCCTGGATTTTTGTTTTTCAAAAATGTTGTTTTTTTTTGTTTGTTTAAGTTATACATTTGTGGTTAGTACATAGTGTATTTCAAATGAGTTGATATGTAGATAGAAACACTGTCGAGTTACAGTTACAATAACTACACTTGCTTACAAGTTACATTAAAATCACTAAAGTGAATCTTATGTAGATGCAGATATATAAATAAATATGAGGAGTAACAGACTTAAAACAGTTTCATAATATCTGATGTTTACATTAGATCTTTCAACCAATCTTATTTTATTTACAATACATCTGAGTCACATATCTATCATGAGGATCAATCAAAGAATATAAGGGTCACACAACCTGGTTACTTTTCTTGGAAAGTATGCTTTCAGTCGAAAAGATAAATAAACTGAAAGAAGCTTTATAAATTTAAGAAGTTATCTATTATTGATGTTTTAGTAGTATCAGGAGCAAGGTAGTAATCAAATTTTATAAATATATTGCCACATTTTATTGTAAGCATACCAGATAAAATTCTTGAAAAGATGACTCCTAATTTTTTTTTTATTTCCATTGTTTTGCTTATAAGGCCAAGGAGTCAATTTAACTCAAGTAAACAAAGAAACATTTTAACACAAACAAGATTTAAACCTAGACAGATATGCCTAATTTGAATAAATGCTAACATAATTGTGTATACAAAATTAAAACAAGAAACCATTTTTGTAAACTTACTTTTGGATGCTTTATGCTTAATTATCAGGAATGAATGCTTATTATATGGTTTTCTATTGATAAAATGGCAAGTAGACAGTACTGACTCACAAGACAAAGTAACATTTAAGTGGAATGCTTTATTAACAATGTATAATTAACTAATTCATTCTTCCCTCTTTCAAATTGACATGGAAGAATATTAACTCTTTTTTTATTTTACCTACAAAAAAGAAACATTGAAAAACATCTGAGAAAACAAAATCAGTTATATGATTACAGTAGAGCAAGTATTAACTAACTACTCCGTTTGTCATATTTTCAAGTAATCTTGCAAAACAGGAAGTGAAAACTATTATTCACCAACTTAACGTTTGTTTTGATTTTCATAAAAAGCTACACAAGGGATATCTACGCTAGCCATCCCTAATTTAGCAGTGAAAGACTAGAGGGAAAGCAGCTGGTAATCACCACCCACTGCCAACTCTTGGGCTACTCTTTTACTAATGAATAGTAGGATTGACCACCGCATTATAACACCCACACAGCTGAAAGGGCAAGCATGTTTATTGGGATAGAGGTTCAAACCCGCAACCCTCAGATTACGAGTTGAGCACCCTAACCACCTGGCCATGCCGGGCCCCAACTTAGAGCTACTAATGGAGGTGAAAAGTGTAGTAATTTAATGTTTGTTACTTTGATGAAATAAATGTGTTCAAAGCTTTTCAGTTATTTACTGGCTTGTTTTGTTGGTTTTTATTTCATCAATATTCACTTGAAGATAACTGGCAAATACAGAATATGCTATTTTTATAAAGTGACAAACAATTGAAGTACGTGTAAATTTAATATTTTATTAATTCCAAAACTATTTAGATAATGGTTTGATTTTTTTGTATGAAAGAGAAAAACTTTTAAATGATTTTATGTCTATAGTGATAATATGTTTTATCAGCTACTTTTCTTTTTATGGCACAAAAAATAAATGACACATGTTAATATTGAGTTGACACTAGCTAAAACCCTGCAGGGAAATAGCATTATTCTATCTTTTTTAATTGATGGTGTTCCCCGATATCTTGAATATTAACATAATTACAATAATGATCCTTGTCTTTCTCAGTTAAGTAAGCTTTCCAAGTTATACGGATGTTGACTAGACATGACTTAAGATATGTGTGAATGACTAATTTAATGGAATATTTCATATGCTCTTGAAATCTGAACTTTTATCCAACACTTATGTTTCTTCAGGATAGTAGACATATTTCCTAGTGGCATCACAGGTTGTTAACTTGTTGAAGTTTTTTCATAAAATACATTCCTTTTTGTAAGTAATTCATATTCTTACCACTAGGGGTAACACATGGTATCTTAGTAAAACAGACTTTGTTGCTTTTACATGTACAAAGACGATTAAAAATTTATAGTCTTGAAAGCTGTGAATTTTAGATTTGTAAAATGAGATTTTTGGACACTTCTGGTCGGTACCAGAGCCTTTCTTTTCTTATAATTACATTCTGACTTTTCAAGTCGTGTTTACATTGTTTTGTTCAAGTAAGACCAACCAGATTCCATCTGTTCAGCATTGAAGTTGATATTATTCACTAGATATATCAACACAACAGATGGAATTTAAAAAAAATTTCACTACAAAAACCATTATGACACTTACTGCTACACACACACACACGTTCCATGGCCAGGTATCATATTAAGTCAATGATATGAACAATTGAATTAACAGATTATTTCATGACACGAAACATGGAAATTCTTCTTGTCAGTCAGGCAACTTGCCAAACCATACGAGACTTTTTTGACCTGTATAAGTTATTAGACACTGTACCTTTAAGACTTTTTTACCCACTGTGTGCTTATTGTCCAACTGAATAAAAACATATCTAAACTTACAATTAATGACTTTCGAAATTTTATCCTGTTGGTATTTGCTGATTTGTTAGTTATCTATTTCACATTTTCCCCAAGCGGTAAACTGTACTTACACACATGACAGAAGCCATATCTGTAAGACAAAAAGAAATGATCTCCCCTCCCACAATGCTCACACCTAAGTTACGCACCTGACTAGGTGCCAACCAAAACACGTACTTCAGTTGTGTTCTAGATTTAAACTTTGTTTTATTAAAGCATATTATATACACAACTTACCAAGAAAGTGAAAAACTGAACATTTTGGCATAGATCAGAAAACATATGCTTGTATGTTTATTTGATATTAAGAGTACAGGTGAACTAAATTCATACAATTAAAATCAAAATCTTTCGACAATGATTTATCTGTGGCATAACAGCCCCCCCCCCCCTCTGGCCTATACAGTGATTTAATACATTTCATGTTTTTGAATGTAAATGGGAAATATTAAAGTAAATATACTCTAAAACCAGGATCCATTTTTAAAACTAGCATGCAGTACCATTTTAAAATGTGTAAGATCAAGTTTGACCAGTACAGCTTAATTGGTTTGAAACAGAACTGAAGGAACAAATTCAATCACATACTATGTGTGTATGTGTGAGTTCATGAAAAAGGAAGTTATTTAAAACAGAATTTTTATTAGGCTGTTCTTTCCAAGCACATAGGTGCTTTGTTAAGGTATTATTCTATAATACTGAAAGATAAACTGGTAAGTTATACACTATTTGACAAGTACAGCACAAGTTGTACTTCTTCAAAACAATGTAGATTTTGTACATAACTACTTCACTCAAGTACATGTTTGTTGGCATTGGCTCTTAATAACCACATCTTATTAGAAATTAAAATATATGTACAGAACAGAAATTATAAATGGAAGAAATATTTTCCAGATATAAAATAATTATCAAGCTGGTAATGTTACACTTGCTTTTTTTTATATGTACTACTTAGTACTTGCAGCTGATTTTTGTTGTTTTTTTCAACACTGACATACAAGAATCCACTGTATATGTATCCACATGTTTAGTTTATAATGTACATAATGGCTGATACTAATTCAAAATTGGAAACAGTTTACTACATGGATTTACTCTTAGTATTTCATGCAAAAACATTTAACAATATGAAAATTCAGAAACTGTTACCATAAATATTAATTATTTTCACATCTGCTTATCACAATAAATTTTCTCATATAAAATTACAAAATAGTATTGTAATACAGTGAAGGAAATATCAGTTTCCTCAAAATAAAAGTCCTTTACTTTACTAAAACTCTTATGTACCTACAACTTACAAGTAAGAAAAAACCAACAAACCAATATACTTATACTTTTTATAACTTTTAAAAATAATTATATATCTATTGCTAAAATTATACTCTGGAACTAATTATGAAAATTATATTTTTTTTACTCTTTAAAAATTGTGTTTGCACAGAAAAATACAGACAGTTTATCATAGAAGACCTTATAAGTAAAATATTAAGTTGTAAACTTACCGTTTAAATTACTGCTATAATAAATTCCACCATAACACTCCTTTTCTAGAAACAACCAGCTCACGAAGCCAGCGCCTACAATCTGACTACTGAAGCTAATTATTCATCTAGCATTGTGAATTTACACTATCAAAATCAAACGCAATAAAAGTGTAAGTCACAGTTAAAACAATGCGGGTTAGTTAAACTTAAAGATGCTCTTGCCTGTACCACAGTCTAGCACGATACAGTCACTTTGTATTTTATCAGATTATATTCGTAATAAATACATGACGAGTTAAGAAAAACTACTTAGTTTTGGTGGTGCGCTTTTAGCTACGTGTAAATATGTCGTCAACGTAGAAGTAGACAAGAAGCTATAACGTAAATGTTGGGTAGGGATAATCGTCAATGAGACGTCGGTCGTCCCGACCTCAGCTACAGTTAACGCAAACGTTCACCTTTCTTTTCGTTTTGTTTTTTAATGACTATCTCATAAGACAGTACTTTAGTCGATCTTAACGTTACTTACATATCAAAACTTAATATCAGCGATAATCGAAATTCACATCACAAGGATTGTAAAAATATATAACAGAATCATGATCTAGAGATCATTCGGAAAGGACGCTTTGCCACGGCAAACGCCCGCAAGGAATAATGTGTAACGCTCAATGAATTTGACAATTTTTAATGATTTAGCCATACCTTAGATATGCAGTGACACTTACGACAGTTTCAGGTGTTCGATAGCCGATTCTTGAAGGAATATGGATGAAATTTGAATTCTTGCTTCACTTCTAAATCAAAAACAAGTTGTCTTTGTCCCAACACCGGTGTTTAATGGTAAAATGGAGTGCTAAGAAGTAGAATCAAACTGCAGGCACAAGCGCATGAAGTTTATGACGTCAGCAGCTTTGTAAAACAATGATACACAACTTCTGTCTGACTATTTACGACTAGTGATTTGATATCGGTTACTCAATATTGTCATGTCTGTGTCGTATGAGGAAGGTTTGCACAGTGTTCTGATTGAAAGTACCGTTTTAAAAGCACATTTATATTTTACAATTTGTAAAAAGAAGATAGCATTAGAAACGTGCAGATATGTTTGTTAAAAGTTAAATATTTATTCACTGTTACCATTTACAATCTGTAAAACTTAACAGATATTTAAATTGAATACAAATTTAGTTTTACATTTTCGCTGACACAAACTTTGCATACCGCTTAGATTCAATAATGTTTTATTTCTGATTCACAATGGAAAAAATCATATATGAAAATAATTCAATAAGCGTATCAAATGTTAAATAGTTGCAAAGGTATTTTAAGCTTTTCATTAAGAAAATACCTCATTTTCATGCAACCAAAGATTCCAAATTACTTGTACTTTTTATACGGAGCCTGAAATATATCCTTATAACAATCACGAAAAATGTCACGGTTCCTAAATAATACAAAATATAAAAAAGTAACCTGACCTTGACCCAATATTCTAATAACTGTCATACACCATGAAAACTTGTTTTTATAGTATTCTTAATCCTATTTTGGCAGTAAAAAGCTGTAGTGATTGGTAAAGTTCAATGAAGTCAGTGTTATAGAAGTTAATTTCTATGAAGTTATAGAACTGTTATGCAAAATCGGTAGACAAAGCAAACGTTATTGTGATACAGTAACAATCAAAATTTCGTCACTTAACAGCAGTGCTGCGATCTAGTGACAAATTTATTGTACGTATATTGTGAGTGCGAGTGTTTATATAACATAAATTTCTAACCATGAAAATAAAATTACCGAATGATAGTGCAAAAACGTTTATTTTGTATATATACGGAAAATAAACTGCTTTCTAAACAATCAAGTGAGTATGAATTATTTTTTCAAAAGAACGTGCTTTCAAACTGGTGTATATATATAAACAAAACCCTATACTAAATTTAGCTACTTAAAGTTAAAAATTACAAGTAACAAAACAGCATTTCCATATAATAGGCGATCAATGTGATGAAATAAGTATTATTGCTAATGAAACGAAATGTTTTATTCTTAAAAAAAGTACAAACAAAATATATAGGTCATATTTAATGACAAGGAACTCACTTTTTGGAAAAAGTGAGTTTGAAGAAGGCTTGAATGGGTATTGAATTAAACTTTATTATAAGAAATAGGCCAGGTGTCTCACTGATTATATACTATAATAAATACCCAAAACTAGGATTTGGCCTAGGAGCAAATATTTGTTGTGTCTCCTCGAAGCCCCCAAGTGCCACAGCGATATGTCTGCGGATTTACAACGATAGAAACCAGGTTTTGATACCCGTGGCGAGTAGAGCACAAACAGCCCATTGTGTAGCTTTGTGCTTAACTACAAAAAAAACAAACAAAAAAAAACGAAGTCCCTCAAATGAATTGGTGGACACAGCAGATAGCTCGCTATGGCTTTTCTCTAAATATAAACAACCAAACGAAATATAATTCGATCTCTGGTTAGTCTTGTTACCTTTGCAGCCAGTGAAAATAAGAACTGAGAATATTTGAAAGCTTTTCATCGATATTCACCTTGATAACTTTGAGTTTACTAAAACAAGGATAAAAATTTACGAAAACATTTTGGAACAAAAATAATCTTACATTAAAGCTTTCTAATTTATCTTTCGTGATTCTTCCCTTATCCTTTTAAAATTAAAATGAACGTAAGAAAACTTTGCTCGCCAAACCCATATTTCTCCATTGTATTATCTCATTTTCTTTCCAATTTAACGTAACACAAAATTTATTTGTGAACGTTTTTAACTGAATATTGCGCCATATGGATAACTGTTGAAGATATGTTGTGAAAATGGATCAGGTCTCCGTTCTTCGATGCATTTAATATATTGTTAACTTAACGTTATTTCATCGGAAAAATCGTCGTATGCGTTTACTTTAAAATTAATTATAAAAATAATCTTCGCTAAAACATTTAAAAGCTGGTTTCAAATGGTGAGATAGCCGACAGTAAAGATTTAAAAGTGAGCTTTATCTCATGAAAATTGGGAAGAAAACGAAATCACGGATTTCTATTTCCTATGAACAATCGTTGTATATTATTTATAATCTCAATATTTTCATACTTCGGTCTCTGCGACCAGCGCCGGTGTAAATAAAGTCATATATATGAAAATACTTCTCAAATGGTTAAAATTCATCGTTTCTGCCATATTCACAATACTATTCGTTTTGCCTCATTATGCCTATATGGAGTTATAATTTACCTTTGACTTGTATTACTTGGATATTTTGATAGGTCATGAAGTAATGTATAACATGGTTTTCGGTTAAGAACTGCTAAGAATACTTAAAACTGTGGATTTGGCGGCATTATAGTAAATAATCAGAAAATTCCAGTTTTTTAAATACTTTTTTTTCAGTCGTAGATTTTTTTTTCAGAAATAAAAATGTAAAATTCAAAATATTCAAGTAGAACCATGTTATACGTGAAACTCTTCTATGCTTAGACTTCTCAAACACGTTAAAATGACTTCTTTTAATGGTCTTATGTGCATATGTAAAAATCTCTTATTTCTTCACAACAGTTACTTCTCTGGAGAAAATCTAAATTTCCGTCATTTTGTTTCTGTTGGCTCCAATGATCTAAAATCGATGTCAAAAAATCTACGTTTTTATGCATTTTAATGTGTTTATATTTGTATGTTATGAATTTCGCGCAAAGCTAATCGAAGGCCATTTGGGCTAGTCATCCTTAATTTTAAAGTGATGAACCAGATGGAAGACAGCTAGCTAACGCTGCCAACTCTTGGGTTACTCTTTTACCATTAAAAATGGGATAGATCGTTACATCATAACGCCCCATGGCTAAAAGTACAAACATATTCGTGGATGGGACTATTTCAATGCGATATACTATTTGAATACCAATTCAGATACTGGCTTTTGGTTAGTGGCCTTACTAGTTCTCCTTTGCGTATTCAAAAGTCGTGGAAAAAATTAACCTGAACTGACTTTGTTCATTGTAACTCACAAAGTAGAAAAGCTTGTTTGAATCGTAGAGATTTATATTGTTTTAAAAGTTCTGCGTAGTCAATTATAAAATAATTGCAAATGTTGTAAACGATGGCTGAGTGATATCGAAATCTTTCATTTATAATTCCGTAATTCTGGATTAAACAAACACTAAGAACAGTCTAATATTGGAATAACTTCTTATTTGTAAGGAAAAGAAAAGAAAAAAAGTTAACTTTATGTCACTCAAAAATAAGCTACTAATAAAACAAAAATATATAGGTTTAACCAACTTTTGAGCTACTTTTTTACGAACGAGAAGTGAAATAAACCGTTACATTATAACGTTTCCATGGCTGAAAAGGGAGCATGATCGGTAACGGAATTCGAACTCGTAACCCTAAATCAAGCTCCCCCAACCACTAGGCTGTGTCAGGCTATCATTCATATTGTACGTTTTACAGTATAAAATGCTACAAGGTTGTTATCAAGTATTGTATAAAGCGGTCCTGTATGTTCTCTGTTTAAATTAACCTTACATACATGTTGATTTCGTGGTGATTTGTTGTAACCTTGCAAGTGAAATGGGAGAGACAAGAGTCGGTGTTTTAAGTTAAACTAAAAATTAAAATGTTTTATTTTAAAATAAATATAAAAGGATGACTGATTTTGATAGTGGCGATTACTATATTGGGAAGAAAACGGAGTTACAAAAGTAACAGAAAGACGAACTAAAACACACTTGACTTGAAGGTAAAATGAAGGTGAAATAAAAAGAGCATGACCAGCAAAGGAAAAAAGAGCATGGCAAAACAAAGGCTAAACCTTATCAAGGGGTCTTGTCCCCCCTCACAAACGGAACGAACTGTTTTTTTTTTTCTTTCGAAAGTTAGAACGACTATGATGTAACAGCGCCAAAAGTACATTCGTAATACACATTTTTCTCCAGTGTTAGGCTCGAGGGTATACTCTGTCCACCCATTATTTTGGAGGAAATGACACTTTCCACCCTTTTATATGTTATCTGTTTTGTACAGGGGGATTTGGAAGGTTTAAATTTTGATATGGTATCTCCATGTTGGGTAACCTTATACATTTCACTCACTAGTTTCGGTAGGAGTCTAACCCTGATTCTTTCTGTAGCTGACCAATCAGAATAAGAGCACTGTAAAGTGAAAATATCTTTGCTGCTATTGTCAGTCACAAGGTATCCATTCTCCATAACTAATGCCGGATGGGACACAGCACAACTATCCCATGAAACAGTAGTTAAGTTCATTGACCGATCAAACTACAAAAAAAAGTAACACCTCATGATAAATTGACCTCAACCGGTTTTAAGATGTTCCAAATCAGAACTTAGAAAACAATTTAATATCTTGAAGATAGGAAAAGTTTATACTACAGAAGAATGAGGTAATAGTATTTGCATACTACAAACTTCTTCTCCCTTGTCTTAATCTTGTTCTCAGACCAACTTTAATTCCATTTAAAAGATACAGCCTGATCGGGTGAAAACAATTGAAAATCGGAACCCTCGGTTAGACTGGACGCGAATGTCACAAAACTGCACGAGATGCGTAACAAGATAACGCATGAAGCGAACCACACGCGTACACGAGAGTCGTGAGCATAAGAAACGTTCTCTCTATCACACATCGCTAGCTAAAACAAGTAATATCAAACAAAAATAGCATGTAAAAACCTTTTAATGATAATTAGCTTTTTGAAATACATTTAACAGATTAGAAAAATACTCAGGTAAAAATGATTAAAAACAAACAAACACGAAATATGTAAAGGTCAAACAAATATGCACCAAGAAATGGATACGTTATTTATATCGCCACCAAAACATAACTACTCATATATCACAATAAAATAATTTAATTATTAAAAGCTAACTCTAGGTTTAAACA